AAAATAAAAAATTAAAATTTTTAAATTTAATAAGATAAAAGATTAAAAATAATTCCTTCCATTAAAGACCCAACCAAATGTTTGACGCCTCTTTTGTTTTACAGGTTTTGTAATTGACTCGGTTGGATTAATTTTAGGCAGTAGCTTTCAAATCGTAGGTGTGAACGGAATCCCTCGTAAGGACAATTTTCCGTACAGAATGATAATTAGTAATTAATCAGAAAATAAAAACACTAAATTAAGTATTAGGAGTAATCAGTTAATCAATCTGCATATTTTCTTTGAACATTCTTGCATCAATATGTCTTCAGCATATACTATATTCTTCTCCTTCTTTTTGCTATAGACTTCCAAGCAAATCTCTTCCCCAAACTATTGAAACAAAGATGGGTGCGAGTATCCTCGTAGATGCAGCTCTGTCGAAGGTGATTGCTGTTGCTTCTGATCAGTTCACCTCTCTCGTAGATTCAGTTGTGTCGAGGGTGACTACTTCTGCTTCTGATCAGTTCGATTTAGCACTGGGATGGAACGATGATCTGACGGAGTTTCGCGATACAATGGAGACGCTCCGAGGTTTCTTGCAAGATGCTAATGAAAAGAACGTCAGTGGCCACCTTGCTCTGAAGAAGTGGCTCCAGGATCTTCAAGATGTTGCAGATGAGGCTGATGATATACTGGAGGAGGTCGCCTATGAAGGTATGCAGCGGGAAGTTCAGAAATCAAAGGTCAGGCGCTTGACTCTGCCTGACCCCGCGCACTTGCTATTTCGCCAGGAAATGGCTAATAGAGTTGCGAATTGGAAAAAAAGACTTGCTGATTTGAATAAAAGACTTGCTGATATCCATCTCTTGGCTGATGCGTTGGGACTGCGACCCAAACCTGCAGACATGGTTCCTGAACCCAGAGGCAGGGCAGACCGAGAGACCCACTCTTTTCTTTCATGTCAAGTTTATGGAAGAGAGGAAGATGTCTCTAAAATAGTCAGCTCGTTGGTTGACTCAAGTAGTCAGCATGACCTCCCTGTCATGATTATAGTGGGTATGGCAGGCCTTGGCAAAACCACTATAGCAAAAGCAGTGCTTAAAAATGATAAAATTCGAGAACATTTTGGTGATAATAAAATGTGGGTTTGTGTGTCTGAAAATTTTGATGTCAAAATGATTTTAATGGAGATGCTGAAGTCTTGTGGTGGAAGTAGTAGTGGTGATGGTCATTCTGGAAGCAAAGATATAGTGATGAAGAAAATACAAGAGAAGTTGGGGGAGAAAAATTATCTTCTCATACTAGATGATGTCTGGAATGAGGACAGACAGAAGTGGGAGGATTTAAGGGATTGCTTGTTGGGAATAAGTGGAAGTAAGGGGAGTAGGGGTAAGGTGCTTGTGACGACCCGGCTTGAAGATGTTGCATCAGTAATGGCACTTACTGATGAACACATCCATCGTCCTCGGCAATTAAATGAAGATGAGTGCTGGAGTATAATCAAGCAGAGAGCATTTGGAGGCAAATCAGTAACTGAGGGGTTAGAGGGAATTGGAAAACAGATTGCTAAAAGGTGTAAAGGCATTCCGCTAGTTGCAAGTATTATAGGGCCTATTTTACAGAAAAAGAGGGACAAAAGGGAGTGGCAGGCAATTACAGAGAATTGTGTTTGGGATTCACTGGAAAAGCACGAGGGGATCTTGGATATTGTAAAATTCAGCTATGATCGCTTGCCCACACTGGCTTTGAGGCAATGTTTTGCATTTTGTTCCATTTTTCCTAAGGATTTTGTCATGAGAAGGGAGATGCTAATTCAACTTTGGATGGCTCTAGGATTTCTTGAATCACCTGAAGAAATTAGTAATATGGCAGCGGAAGATATTGGTGACAAGTATTTCAGATATTTGTTATCATATTCCCTATTTCAAGATGAAAGGAGGGATGATGTAACTGGGAGTGTTGAATCTTGTAAGATGCATGATTTGATTCATGATTTTGCCCGGTCAATTTCAAAATCTGAGACGTTGATTGTTGAGGATCGGTCTGGTAGCAATATTTCTCATGATGTTAGGCATTTGAATCTAATGGATGGGAGGGAAATGGAGCCATCTATTTCAGGAGATGTTGCTAAAAAGTTGCAGACTGCTAAAAAGTTGCAGACATTGTTTTCCAAGCATAGTTTTTCTAATGGTGTGCAAGTGGATCTTATGAGGTTACGAGTTCTCAGCCTTGCAAATGCTTGTGATGCAAAACAATTGCCGACGTGCTTTGGCAACTTGAAGAGGTTGAGGTACTTGGACATTTCAGGAACTCAAATAGAAAAACTGCCAGAATTCGTCTCCGAGTTGTACAATCTACAAACATTTAGATTCATGGATTGCAGATCTCTTAAAATGCCTGAAGGAGGAATAGGAGATTTAATCAACTTGAAGCATATTTATTTCAGTGATGAAGAGCGTATGCCTGCAAACCTTGGGAGACTAACCAACCTACAAACATTGCCATTATTTTTTGTAGGTACAACAGAAGGACGTAAAATTGAAGAATTGGGAAGCTTAGGAGAACTCAAAGGAAGAATAAAGATCTGTAAGCTTGAGCTTGTTGCGGACAAATTGGAGGCAGAAGGAGCAAAGTTAAAAGACAAGGCAGTTGAGCATTTGATATTTTGTTGGTCGCGAGGCAAAGGCAATCAAGATAAAGATGAAGATGTCTTAGAAGGCCTCCAACCCCCCTCAAATATAAGAAGCTTAAGGATTGATGGCTATGGAGGTAGAAAATTGGCATCATGGATGTTGTTACTCAACAATTTGGTGGATCTGACAATATCCGAGTGCTATATGCTTCACAGAATTCCAGATGTCAGTGGGCTTCTATCTCTTCAGCAGCTTCATGTTCAATGGTGTTATGAAGTAACTAGTTTGGGTGATGGTGATGGAGCATTTACATCTCTCAAACAATTAGCCATAGCCGGGTGTGGTAAGTTAGAAAGAGTTTTGGTTTGTGGATTATCATCTCTGGAGGAACTCAACATTCTGGGGTGCACGGTGATGAATAGCATAGGAGATAGCCTATCAAGCTCCACGTGTCTCAAACAATTGTATCTGCAACGCTGTCCTAAATTGCAGTCTATTCCAAGGCTAGAAGGACTTGTCTCTTTGAAAACATTTAAGATTACCGAGTGTGATAAATTAGAGCGTCTACCGAGTGGGCTTTCATCTTGTACTGCTCTGGAGAAATTGACGATAGGGGGAGCCTCTAATTTGGTTTCTATTCATGAAGAATTGAAGCAGTTGCAGTCTCTCGTTGAGTTGGTTTTTGAATATTGTCCAAAATTGAAGTGTATTCCAAGTCTAGAAGGACTTGTCTCTCTCAACACACTAAATATTACCAATTGTGATGAATTAGAGCGTCTACCGAGTGGGCTCTCATCTTGCACTACTCTGGAGAAATTGCAGATAACGAAATGCTCTAATTTGGTTTCTATTCATGAAGAATTGAAACAGTTGCAGTCTCTTGTTGAGTTGGGTTTTTGGGATTGTACAAAATTGAAGTTTATTCCAAGTCTAGAAGGACTTGTCTCTCTGAAAACAGTAAATATTACCAATTGTGATGAATTAGAGCGTCTACCAAGTGGGCTCTCATCTTGCACTGCTATGGAGAAATTGAAGATAAGGGGATGCTCTAATTTGGTTTCTATTCATGAAGAATTGAAACAGTTGCAGTCTCTCCTTGAGTTGGTTTTTGAAAATTGTCCAAAATTGAAGTGTATTCCAAGTCTAGAAGGATTTGTCTCTCTCAAAACAGTAAATGTTAAGGGCTGTAATGAATTAGAGCGTCTACCGAGTGGGCTCTCATCTTGCACTGCTCTGGAGAAATTGAAG